AAGGAATCCTATTGTAATCCCTCACAAAAGGAATCCTATTGTAATCCCCCTCAAAAGGAATCCTATTGTAAACCACTACAAAAGGAATCCTATTGTAATCCTCCTCAAAAGGAACCCTATTGTAATCCTGCTCGAAAGGAATCCTATTGTAATCTCCACCAAAAGAATTCGATTGTAATCCTCAAAAGGAATCCTATTGAAAGCCGATACAAAAGGAATCCTATTGAAAGCCGATACAAAGAAATCTTATTGAAACCGTGAAGGCGAGCTGTGTGGGCGAGCTGTGTGTAAGTGCTCTGGGAAGCTCTGTTTGAGGACACGGCGATACAACCCTTACCGCCCCCCCCCCCCCCTCCCCTCTCGAAAACCGTGGGGGGTCACTACCGGTTCGAACCCCTCCCCCCCCCCCCCTCCGGATCCGGAAAGCCGGGGGGGGTCACTACCCGTTGGACCCCCCCCCCCTCGAAAACCGGAGGGGGATCACTACCGGTTCGACCCCCCCCCCCCACGCACCGCCAGCAAACGACTCCCGGTCCCTACCACCGCTCGCATCACATCCCCCACTGTTGTTCCCAGCACCACTGTCCTCACCACCACTGTCCCCACTGGTTCCACCACCGTCCCTATTGTCCCCACCAGTGCCCCCACCACTGTCGCACTGTCCCCACTGTTCCCCCCACTGTTCCCACCACGGTTCCACTCTCCCCACTGTCTCCACGGACCCAACCACTGCCTATCCCCACTGTCCCCACTGTCCCACTGACTCCTCCGCTGTCCCACTGAGCTGTCCCACTGTTCCCACCACTGTCCCCACTGTCCCCACCACTGTCCCCACTGTACCTCTGTCCCATTGTCCCACCGCCGTCCTCGCCACCGCCTTTACCACTGTCCCCACCACCATTGTACCCTCCACTGTCCCACTGTTTCCACCTCATTCCCACTGTCCCCACACCACTGTCCCCATCCACTGTCCCCCCTGTTCCCACCATTGTCCCCACCACTGTCCCCACCACTACTGTCCCCACCACTGTCCCACTGTCCCACTGTCCCCACCACTGTCCCGCTGTCCCCTCGCCACTGTCCCCACCAACACCGTCCCCACCACTGTCCGCACCCCCACTCGGTTTTCGAGGGGGGGGGGGTTCGAACCGGTAGTGACCCCCCCCCCTTTTCATGATGAGCTGGGGGGGGGGGAGGGGTTCGAACCGGTAGTGACCCCCCCCCGGTTTTCCGGAGGGGGGGGGGGGGGGGAGGGGTTCGAACCGGTAGTGACCCCCCCCCCCCCCGGTTTTCCGCCAGCAGCGGTAGAACACGCTCTTTCAGATATAGGGACAAGAATTCAACAACGAAGATGTTCACCATACAAGAAAATCGGAAGATCAGGAGGAATGGAAGAGAGCCTCCACGCCAAACTCTACTCGTCAGGTTGGCGGCCCTGCCAGAGAGCCTCCAATGTTTCGAAAACAGAGCAGGAGTAGGAGAAAGTATGGCAGGAAGGAGAGATGGAGGCGGAGAGGAAGACGTATCAATAAAGTGCGGACGAAGGGGAGGAGAGCAAAGAACGGGAGAAGGATGAGACGGAGAGAGATAGAGGATATGAACACAAGGGTTATCATTGATCGGGAAGAGATAGGGGGGCACGAGGAAAGGCTTTTTGGAAGGGGTGGATATAGCCGGACCATTCCTTGAGCCAATGCGGCTGCGGAAGATTCAGGCTGGCTGCCCTCCATTGCCGTCCGCTCTCCGTGCAATCTGTCACCACCCCATGCGCAATGATCATCTCCATCAGACCCGCCCTTCCGTCTTGCGCAGAAATGATTGGGTCATGAGGAGCGAGATCACGAGGAAACACAGTGCGTCTACGAGAAGTGGGGGGGAAAGGCAGGAGGACGAGCATGAGGAAGAGGGAAGAGCACCCCGAGTACAACCCTGGACAAAATGAACCTCAAAAGTGGTCCACGCGCAACTTCAATGTCGAAGCAGAGCGAAACGAGGTCTGGAGGGGTGCGACTCGGAAGGTCCACGATGACCCACATTGGAGAGGGGGGGCACCAACAAGAAATTTGCGCGCGCCACAATCAAACGGAATCCTACCAGCCCTTTGGGCTAAGTTGGTCTAGCGATGTCTTTCTTTCCTCTCCCAAGAACCTGCTTCCTTCCACTCGGGGAGGGGTATCCTCTCTCTCTCTCCCTTCCCTGAATTGTTGTTGGGCGGGCCGCGATCATGTCGCACAAGATGGCCCAGGATGTCTCCAAGAGGGCCTCTGATGCTCCAAGATGGCCTCTAAGGCGGCTCAAGCTAACCGAAGGTGGTCCAAGATAGCTTCCGACAAGCCTCCAAGAGGCCCGGCGAGGGCCGTAAGACGGCTCCAAGTTCTCTCGGAGCCCCCTCAAGACCCCCTCGAGAGGCCACACTCTTTCAAAAGCAGAAAGGACAACCAATGAGTTGTGCCTTCTCGCCATTTCACTTCTGATGCGCCTTTGAGGCCTGATGATGGCCCCAAGATGGTCCAAGAGAGCCCCAAGATGAGCCCAAGAGGCCCCCAAGACGGCCCCAAGAGCGCCCAAGATCGCTCAAAGAGCGCCCCAAGGGGCCATTTCGAAGGCCCCAGAGGCTCCAAGACTCCCCAAAAGAGATCAAGAGAACCCCAAGAACCCCCGCAAGAGCTCCAAGAGTGCTCCTCGAGGCGATTTTGAGGGCTCTGTCCTCGTCCTCGTTGTCCTCCTCCTCCTTCTCCTCCTCCTCCTCGTCCTTGTCCTCGTCCTTGTCTTCATCGTCTTTAACCCAGTGCGGGAGATAATAGTACCCCGGGGAAAATAAATTTCGGGGTGCTGGCGGGGATAAGAACATTTTTTCACGGGGAAGGTCAGTTATGATGATGATGATGATGATGATGATGATGATGATGATGATGATGATGATGATGATGACGATGATGATGAGACCACCATGGCCATGCTCAGCGTTTTTGATGTTGTTGCTAGTCAGCATCATATGATAGCAACTTCGATTCGCAACTTTCCCCGTGGATTATAAAGTTCGGGCTCCGCGCCCCTCTCCACAATTCGATCCTGTTGGACGGGGATAATAAAAATAGAGGGGGTGAAAGGGGGGGTAGGCTGTATTATCGACCGCACGCGATTATTTGTTTGTTTCTCCTCTTCCTCGCCATCGTGGTCGTCGTCGTCGTCGACTTCCTCCTCCTCATCCTCCTTCTCTTTCTCCTCCTCCGCCTTCTCTCGCCCTCACGCGGGCCCAAGGGATGCCCGAAGAGGCCCTCCATGGCAACCCCCTTGTTCCAGGGATCTCTCTGTTCACCCTGGTTGCCCGCTTTGTCGTCTCTTTTCCGAGGGCTCGTGGGCTCGTGGGGATAAGCGAAGCGCGAAGAATTTTGCCGAGTGTGCTGGGGTGAAGAGGGCCACGGCGAATGCTGCGCAGGGCCGCAAACGGCCGCTGGCCCGACGCAGGGAACGACCATCGTCGTGAGGGTCGCCACTCTCCGAGGGCCTGGGCGCCCGGCCCCCGACTGCCCCACAGCGCCGGCAGATACCTCGGGCCCGTCGTCTTCAGGAGCACCGCCGTCGTGAGGGCGGCCATTCCTGGAAGGCCAGGGCGCCCGAGCCACCACTGGCCCACGGAGTCAGCAGAAGCCTCCAGCACGGTGGTCGCCGAGGCCAAGCCCACGCCAACCTCGGTGAACTGCGCGGCAAGCTGGGCCGAGAGCGCCGCTTCCGACTTGGAGGGCCTCTCTGGCCAAGGCGTTTCGGAGTAAGCTGCGAGGACGTATCGAGCGGGAGCCGTTGTCGTAGCTGGGCATTCGCCTACCTGAAAGACTTGCGAGGAAATCGCGAGCGACAGCGCCGTTCCCGAGGTGGGGGGGCCTCTCTGGCCAAGGCGTCTTGGAGTAACATTGCAAGGAAGTATCGAGCGGGAATCGTTATCGTCGTAGCTGGGCCACCACCAACTTGACTGAACTGGGGGAGATCTCGAGCGAGAGCGCCGTTCCCGAGTTTTGGAGGCGCGTTGTCCAGGGCGTCTCGAAATAAGTTGGGAGGGGGTGTAGAAGCGGGAGCCGTTGTCGTCGTAGCTGGGCCTTCACAAACTTGAGGCCCAAGAGGCCTTCAAGACTGCTCCAAGACGGCCCACGAGGCTCCCAAGACGGCCCCCGAGCGGCCCAAGAGCGCCCCCCAGACGGCCCAAGTGCTGCCCAAGGCGGACCAAGAGGCCCCAAGACGGGCCCAAGAGGGGCTCAAGAAGGGAACCGAGAACTGAAAAATCGAGCCCTCCGCCCCAGAAGGCGCCCAGGACCCCGAAAGAGGCCCCAAGAGACTCTCCAAGACACCCCCAAGACGCCCCAATAAGCTCCCGTGAGGCCCCAAGAGGACCAACAACGTCAGGCCCCAGGCCCCAAGAGGACCAACAAATACCGCCAAGAGCCCGCCGAAAGCCCCCCAAGAGACCGTCACGAGAGCTCAGGAGGCCCCCTGGAGGCCTCCCGAGTTCTCCAAGAGGCCTAAAAAGAGGCGCCAAGAGGCCCCAAACGGCCCCACCGAGGCTCCAAGAGGCAACGAACGCGCAAGCAAACGCCTGCGATGGCACAATACGGGCCGGCGGAATGAGCGAAGCGATTAAATAAGTTGGGAGGGGGTGTAGAAGCGGGAGCCGTTGTCGTCGTAGCTGGGCCTTCACAAACTTGAATGACTTGCGAGAAAGTCTAGAGCGAGAGCGGCGTTTCCGAATTGTGGGGCCTCTCCGGCCAAAGCGCCTCGGAATGAATTGCGGAGAAAAAAGGACCGGGAACCAGCATCGCCGTAACCAGACCTTCACGGACTCACGCCTGGAATCACCCCCCCGCTCGAGCGCGAGCCTTGGTTTCAAACAGCATGGCACCAGCTCTGAGGCGAGAGCACCCAGAGCCGCATCCAGGCATTTGCAATGGCAGCAGCGGCGACGACGACGACCGCGGTCCTCCCCTCGAGGGGGGCCCGCGGCGCGCGGCCTCTGAGGGCCCCTGCCGTTCGACACCGAGCTCAGCCCGAGCTCCGCCGCGATCTCGTGCACGGCCTGCCCCCCCACGGGGGGTGCACAGCTCTCGCGGCCGCCGCCGCCGTCGGAGGCGCCGCCGCCGCCGTGGCCAGCGTGTTCGTCGCCGCCGCCCCGCCGCCGTCGTCACCGTCGCCGTCGTTGCCGCCTCCGTCGCGGACCGAGGATCCGAGCGAGGAGAGGGAAGGAAAGAGAGAAAGAGAGAGAGAGAGAGAACGAAAAAATGAAAGAAAGCAGTAGGGAGTCTTTGCCATGAATAGACTGCTGGAGGCCTTGGGAAGCCGCCGAAAACTGACTGTTCGCCGTTCGCCCCTTGCTCCTCCTGCTCCTCCCTACGGGCGAAAGTGGAAGAAATGACGGGAGGAGGAGGAGGCGGAGATGGAGGAGGAGGAAGAGGAGGAGGAGGAGGAGGAGGAGGAGGAGGAGGAGGAGGAGGTGGGGGAGGAGGAGGCGGAGATGGAGCAGGAGGTGGGGGTGGAGGTGGGGGTTGAGGACGGCGCGGAGAAGCATGAAAAGAAAAAGGAGGGAGGGAACATGGATGGCGATGGCGTGCGCGCGAGAAGATAGCAGGAATAGGGCACGAGGGAGGATTGGGAGGGAGGACGCGCAACAGGAGGGGGGTCGAAAAGGAAGGGCCACAGGACGAGCCACAAGACGAGGAGGATGGGAGGAGCATGAGAGGAGAAGAAAAACGAGGACCTCCAGCAGGGTCGGCTGGGGCATGGGTTCGGGGGAATAGGACGAAGGAGGGATGACTGGAAGGAAGACTGGATCGGGGGCAAGGGGGAACGGTGGCGGACAAGCTAATTGCGCTCTCGCCATACCTGACATCCGACCCTTCCCACCAGTCCCTTCCAATGTTGCTGCTAGTTGCATACCCATAGATGCGTGTCATAGAGTGGGCGGAGCTCCAACACCAAGCCGTTCGCGTCATGCGCATGCTCGCCAAAGTGGGCCTCAAACAACAAGCTGGTGCAGGATGAATATTCTGGTGGGGTGGAAGCCATACTGTTTAGTGCAAACTAGGTGGTGCAATTCATCAGCGCTCAACTTGAAGCTGCCCACCCCACTGTCCGCGCAAACATCCCTCCCACCCGCCCGCAACTTGGTTTGCAAACCCCATGCGGCGGCGATTGCGATGAGTGATTGGCGCTGGCTGGTGCATCTTTGCGGCCGCGACAGCCCGCGCATGCACGCGCGCGCATGCACTTTAACGCGACCGACGCAGCCGCGGTGGCGCAGACCGCTGGGCACATCCCAGCGGGCACACCAATGCGAATCGGCGACTTGGGCGGCCGCGGTATCATGGCAACGTCGACAACGGTACACATGGTGATGATAGTAGCGATGTTGGTGACGATGCTGGCAGCGACGACCACGGGCAGTGACGGCGCGGATGCTGATCACGCCGGCGACGATGACGGCGCCCTCGCGTCGGCGATGAACGTTTTGGGCTGAGTTCGACATGCGCGCGCGGCCGACGCGAGAGTGGCCCGCGCGGTATTATTTGAAACGGATCGCGTCCCACCCCCCTTCCCCAGCACGCGCGCAAAGGCGTGCGAATGATGTCGGCATGCGGCGCGAGAGGCCCGTTTGGCAGAATGCCATGAACAAGTTTGGAAGAAACAGAAAAAAAAACATGGTTGTCTCGAGAAATCGCAAGAACGCGAGCGCACGCTTGGTTGACAACTGATGTTGCGGAACCTTGTGTTCCTATATGTGGTTTGGACATTCGGTTTTGACATTGTCAGGAAGCCAGCGGTTTTTGAAGGATTTCGGCATGCGCGGGCGACGACGTGCGCGCGTGCAATTCGTCACATATTTTGCAAAGGATTCTCGCGACGGCACGCGCGCAAGGGCGTTCGAACGATTTCGACATGTGCGCTCGCGAAGCCCGTTTGATAATTGTTCTGGAAATGTTGAAAACCTATGGTTTCCGCCAGGATTCGGAAAAACGCGCACGATTTTTTTTTTATTTTTGAAAATCCGTGTTGCGAAGCCATGTGTGTTTATATGTTTGTGTTGGGCATCCGATTTTGAAATCCTTCCGAAGCCAGCCATGAGTTTTTGAATGATTTCGGCATGCGCGCGCGACAGCACGCGCGTGTACTTCGCACAATTGTTGCAAGGGATTCTTGGAAGCGTATGATTGTTTGTAAAAGAGTGTGCGCGCATAGTATTTTTTGCAGTTGATTGCGGGGGGGGGGGGGGGGCGATACCAGCCTAGCTGGGATCACATGAACTCACATGGATGATGGACGTTGGGTCAGAATCATATGTAAATTGCATTACGAAAAAATGATGTTTTAACCCCGGGGGGGGAGGGTGGTAGAGCCTCTCTTTTTTCAGAAAGGAGAATCTAGGTGCTCCAGAATGCGTGGTGCAAGCTATGTTGTGCCTACGTGGTGCACGATATGGCGTTCAATGCACGTGGTGCTACCTCCGTGGTGCAAGACATGTGGCGCAAGCTATGGGATGCAAGCTGTGTTGTGCAAGCTATGAGGCGCAATGAATTGTTGCCAACTCACGGGTTGTCAACCCCACTGCTCGCGCATCCATCCCACCTTCCCACCCGCAACTTGTTTTACAAAACCCAGGTACCCGTGATTGCGATGTGAGTTCGACCTAGGCTGGCGCATCTTTACGGCCGCAAGCTCACGCGCAGACTGGCCAGCTGGTTTGGCATAGCCGATGCGTCCGCGATGGCGCTTACCGATGGCAGCTTCCCAACGAGTCAAACGTCGCTCTGGCGCGCGGGCGCATCAATGCTGGTCGATGGCTCTGGCAGGCGCGGTATCATGATGACGTCGACCACGGCGGCAACGATGATGAAGATGATAGTAATGATGGTGGTGGAGATAATGACGCTAACGGCGGCAAGGGAAACAACGGCCCCGATGCTGATTTCGGTGTCGGTTCTAGGGGCGATTGTACAGCCGCGGCTAAGAAACTAGCTTGAACATAATACAAGAAAACACAGAAAACGACATCACATCAAGAAAAGCTAAGAAACCAGCTAAGAAACGACATCACAGAAAACTAAGAACAACAACTCGGAGTATAGCTAAGTGCTGGCTCACGTCCGAACGCCGATGACGATGATGATGTCCATCGGTCGGTGATGAAGGTGCTTGCGTGATGCTGGCGGCATTGGCGGGGACTGTCGAGGACTACGACGCAACGCGGTGGTACTGATGAGGGTGATGGCGGGGAGATGTGCGCGCGGGAACCCAAGAAACTTCGGTTGACCCTAATCGGTGTTTCAAACGATTTTGAAGAGCTCGAAGTTGCAGTGCTTGGAAAACCGGTGGTTTTGAACTGATTCCGATACGCGCGCGTGGCGGCGCGCGCGTGGCCCGCATAGCATTACTTGGTGTGGATTCGTTCACTGGGCGCATGCTGGATCGACGCGGATGCACCGCGTGGTCAGTGCACGCGTGTTGGCATCGTGCCATCTTTGTCAGGGAATATTGAAACATGTGTTTTGGAATGAACGCTTGCCAGCGGACTATACTGTTTGACGAGTGAGGGGGGGGGCGGGGGCGATGCCTGGCCTGCCTGTTCCATACAAATCCATATGGAAAATGAGCGGCGGGACAGAATCGCATATGATTTGCAGTGTCCCAGGGTGGGGTTGGGGGGGCGATAAGCCCGCGGGGGAGGGGGTGGTAGAAGAGTCCGTTCTTTTTCCGAAAGGAGAACCTACCTGGTGCAAGCTACCGGGGCGCCCACAAGGCGCTCATGCGCGGGCACCAGGCGAAACCTCTACATGCCCTCCAAAAGCGAGGCACCCACGAGTCGCCCACGCTGTGTCAATCTTCCGCCCAGCATCCAAATGCGCCAGAGTGAGCTCCGACGCGCGGCACAACAGCCGGCAGCCAGTGCGCTGTCACACCACTGCGTCGGTCCACCAGGCGGCGCGTGGGATGCCTGAACGGACGCTTTTCCCGCGCAGAACCTCGCTTCGAAAACTGACCACCCTGACCCGCTTGGCTGAAGCCTCTTGCATGCGCGCCAACTCCTGTCAGGGCTGGTCTACGCGCCAAAGCGGGGCCCTCTCGCCGCAGCGCGAAGCTCGGCCGCCGACGCTGCACACACGGGCGCACAGGGCCAGGTCGCTCCTCGCATGCAGCTTCAAAAGGAATGTCACAATTCCGCGGGCTCGTCAAGTTGCTGCACGGGCGGCGTTTTGGCGGACATCTCGACAAAGGCATGTGCTGCGTTGAGGCCTCTGCGTTGTAGGGCCACGTCGCCTCTCAGGTGCACCTGCCGCGAAGGCATCCAGGCCCACCGCAGGCTGCCGCAGCACGGCGGCAGCGCCGCGGCCACGTCACTGGCAGGGCGACGCCTCGCCGACGAAGGGGTGCCGCCGCGACCTCGCGCTCTGCGGACTCTCCAGTGGAAAGCCGTCCGCCGCTGCTCGAGCGCGTGCGCGCAGTCTCCGCAACACACCCCCAAGCACCGCCAGAGCCGAGGGAGCATACTTTTCATTCCCCCCCCCACCCTTCCGAGTCCCCGTCTTCGTCCCCCAACTCCTGCTCATGTTTTGTGTTGTTCTCATCCTCCTCATCATCTCTCCTCCTCCTCCTCCTCCTCCTCCTCCTCCTCCTCCTCCCACGGATCCTTCTCCTCCTCATCCTCACCCCGCGTTCCCGTTCCGCGCCTCGTTCATAGTTCCCCCTTCTCCCCCTCTGATCCTGCTCAAACCCTCTGCTGCCCCAACTCGTCTCCTCATCCTGGTCCTCCTCCTCCTCGAACGTGTGCCATAACGATGTGCGCGCCTGCGCCCCATCGAAGGCCGCCGCGGATCTGTTCGCTGTCGGCTGCAAGTGCGGATGCCATGGACTTGAAGCCCGGCCACGTCGCGACAAGGCGGGCTGCTTCCCCTCCTCCTCCACGCCCTTCCCACCCCTTTCCACATAAGTAATTCATCACTGTCGCACCTCCAGACGTGTTTGTAGGCGGTGCCTCGCGTGTCGTTGATACTTCCTCACCAGGTGTGATCCTGAAGCTTGAAGCCTGCAACAATTTCAAGGGTGAAGGGCGACTGGTTTCCAACATGTGGCTCTAGCTTTGAGGTGGCCTTGAAAAGTTGCAACGGTTTCAAGGGTTCATAGAGCTAGCAATCCCAGGAATGGTGCTCTGCCACGGTTCAGGACTCTCGGGACACAAATGCCGTATTGATTCGCGGTGTCGACGTCCCAGGAACGGCGTTCTGGTGCGATGTAGGATTGCCACCTTGATTTGGGGCGTTGAAGGCCCAGGGAAGGTGTTTTGGCAAGAATGAAGACTCGCAAACGGTTACCTTTCAATGGGGCACTTCCTGCCATAGAAACAGACTCTTGTGGGGACCGACGAATAATTGCAACATCGTTCTTGCAACATCGGTGATGCAACTTGATCGTTCATGCGTTTGAGGATCCTCCTCTTTCTTTCTGACGTTAGACAAACTATGATGATATGTGATTGTCGCATTCGCGCGTCGAGAGTCAAGAACATCACCGACTTAGGCACAATGGGAACACCCTTTTTTGCAAACAGATGCGGATGGCAGAGATGCAGGGAGGCCCAAGTACAAGAAGATAATCCCACTGGATGGCAGAATAACTTCGCAAGCAGCCGTGAGGGACAGGAGGAGAAACCACAACCATAATCATAACAGAGGGAGGACACCGCACAAGAAAGACGAACTACGCGTGCATACGGGCAATACTGTCCTCCTCCTCCTCCTTCCGGACAAGGCCGAGCGCCGGGGCCTTCCGCTGCACGGCGGAGAGCGTGGGCGAGAAATCCCTCGAGGCCCCAGCCGGGAGGGCCTCCCGGCTCCGCTTTGAGCAGGGACGAGGGAGGAGCGGCCGGCATGGAGGCAACCGCCAGATCGATACACCGCCTAAGTACGACCAGGAACGTCTGCATGGCGTGTCACGGCAGCGGCTCCGGCGACACGCTATGCCCTGCCAGCGGATCGCGTGTCGCTCCGCTTCGCGGGGCGAGAGGCTGGGAAGGGCTCTGTACGTTGACGCCTGGGGGTTGGGAAGTGGTTGGCGTATCGAGCCGAAGCGTAGTGGGCTAGAACCAGCGGGGCGCCACGCTAAGCTCAAGCTCCTGACCGTATAGAGGCCTCCCAAATGAGGTCCGAGTCGATGTCGGAGGACCGCGCCGCATCGCCAAGGCGTCGTCGAAGCATCGGCGACGTCGGCGATGCACTGGCGTCCTGGGCGTAGAGAGCATCGAGCCCCGCATCTATCCGCATCCCCATTGCATCGGCGATGCGCCACGATCATCCGCCCCCTATCCTGCTCGGACCCCATGTGAGAAGCCTGGAGCCTAGATGCCCAGGGAATACGACGCCACCGCCACCACTCAAGACCTCTCCGACATCCAGCTCGGGGGGCATCGTAAACTTCCTCGCTGGGATTGGCCCCGCTGGTGGTTGTGCTGCTGCTTCTCCGTCCTCTGATCAATCGGTGGGGGAACGACTGGCATGAAAGCGTCGCCATACCAGTATTCCCAGCTAAGGCCCACGCCAATGAAAACATTATTGGGCCAACTTCAACCGCCGAAATATTGCAATCTGACATGGGACTGTTTTGTGTGGCCCCTAGTTCAGGACAGCAAGTGACACGCGTGCCCTGGCCCTTGCACCAGGTAGTGGCTGTGGACAGAATAAGCGTGGGGGCCAGGGGCCAGATCAAGGAGCTCCGAGATGGCCAGGGAGGCGGACGATGATGAACGACGATGAACGACGACAACGACGACGATGAACGACGACGACGATGATGACGAGCACGAGCACGAGCGCTATCACCACCACAAACATGTGTGCGAGGGGCCAGGCCGGAAGGAGAGGAGGGGGGCAAGGGCCAGGTGGTCAGGGAGGTGCGAGGTGGCCAGGGAGGTGGGCGGCGACGAACCACAACGAAGAACAGAAAGTATTCCGTGTCAGGCTGCTGGGCTGGAAGTGTGGGGCTCCAGGGGGTAGTGGGGGCGGCCAGGACGCAGGAAATCAGTCAGGGTGCTGGAAGTGTTGGGCTCTGGGGGGGGGGGCGGAACGGCCAGGACGAGGAGGTCAGAGAACGCCGAGATGACGAGGGAGAGGGCCACGAAAATGAAGGGCTCCGTGTCGGGGGGCCGGGCCGGACGGGGGGAGGGCAGGAGGGCCAGACAGGGGCCAGGAAGCCGGGCAGGGGCCAGGAAATCCGGGCGGTCCGAGATATGATATGGCCAGGGCGACGACGACGAACGGCGATCCACGACAGCAAAGGACCCCGATGCTCCAGGCCAGGGTGGCAAAGGGACAAGGGGGGGGGGGAAGGATGCAGGGGGCTGGGCGGGGCCGCGGGGTGTGAGGCCGGGGGGGGGGGGCGGGGGGGCGAACAACGACGACTAAACTTTAGTCCCGGGGACCGGCTGGGCGGGCCAGGGAGGCGGGCAAGGGCCAGTGCCAGCCAGAACGGCAATCAGGAGAGAAGGCTGGGTCACACGACGACGAGCTGCGACGACAAGAGTAGAGGCCTCTGGGCCAGGGATGGCCGGGGGCCAGGCCACGGGGTCCCTAGTTGGTTAACGAGGCCAGACGACGATGAGGGCTCAAGGCGGCCTTGGGAAGGACGCACGAAAAGTAAAGGCTTCAAGCTTGCGGCGGCGCGGTTGCGCCCGTCAGATCCAAAGTGTCTATTCGCTTTTCAGTCTGCCAAAGGGCCCCCTGACGCTCGATGGACCGGGAAGGGTTGGGACTTCCGAGGCCCCAGGCTTGGGGAGGGGGGCGTGGGGCACGGAGAGAGGGGGGCCTGGAGGTGGCCAGGGAGGCGGGCAAGGGGGGGGGGGCAAGGAAAGGTGACGCCAAACGGCTGCGACGGCGACAACAGATGGCTCTGGGCTCTAGAGCGCGGCTGTGCAAGAAGATTCGAGCTTCTCATGGGGGGTGGCTGACGGGACAGCTGCGTCGGCCATGTGCAACTGAAAACACCAGTCTGATCTATTATGATTGCCCCGCCCCTCGGCAACGATTGGTCCACGAGATTTGATTGTAAGGTTTGTATACGATGACCCTACGACTTCCCACAACATACAACAATGAACCCTAAAAACACTCTTCACGTTGGTTCCGACATGGACTCGTTGCTCCTCGTCGTTATTCGGGTTTTCCCCTGGCGCACCTCATGCAACTGGGCGCAGCTGGGCCGCAAAAGGGGCTTCGCTCAGAAGGCAAAGTTCCTTGTTGCAAAACTTTGACTGCTATGCAGAATGATCAACGATGAGGCCCAGGCAGATTTGCAATCGCCTGCAAATTTCTCCACGCGCAACCGCACATCAGGCTGGCAGCGCTGCTCAATCTCACACAGATGGCCCCTGACCGCAACTCCTGCCAAGGCTGAGCCGACAAGCGCACCACCGAGAGCATATAGTACATACTCCCGACGTGCCATTTCGTCGCTGCTGCTGCGGTCAGTTTGACTGCCCCTCTGCTCGACCAGGGCACGATGCCTCGTCACCTCATCTGCCCTCCTCCCTCAGCCCCGCTGTCGGCCATAATCAGCGTGCGGGGCCCAATGGTCCCCGCAGTTACCGTGAGCTCACCTTACCATTTTCTGAACTGGTAGTTTCCATTCAAAGACTTTGAACGGACGGAGCCAAGCCGACCACCTGCCATACCCATCCCCATCTTGTCTCACAGAAAGGGGCCGTGGCCAGGGGACAGCCTGAATTCCCCCCTGCTCGCGCTAGTTGCACAGCTGCACGGCCCCATACACGTATATTACGGAGCAAAAGTGGAAATAGAGAGAAAGAGAGAGCCCGAGATGATCACCTGTTGGAGGAATCCTCATCAAGCAACCCGAGATGTCACCATACATCGGTATCTACCACCCTCCACCCAATTCACGCCTCAACACACTGAGGTGATCATCATCGAACATGGCACTGCTTAGTCTCACCGCCCTTTACGACTTCCAATTACTGCGTTTGCCCTCACCCCCCTCGCAATCCTCGAGCTGGTGGCGAACTTTCTTCCGGAAAACACGCAAGTGCTCCACGGTGACAAACCTGCCCGTCTTCATCGCCCCAAGACAGGCTTGACGAACGTCATTCAAGGAACACTGATGGCCCACAGCATGGTCCGGTTGAGCACTCACACTGGCTCGATATTATGCGTCCGAATGAAAGACAGCAGGTCGAATCCGTTCGCGAACGCCGACGATTGTCAGTCCACGATGCCAAGAGCGCAATGCAACGACAACATCGGGAAATGGGAGGGGATTGCAAAGTGACATCGGCACGGGTAAGACGATCGCGGCCGAATGAGAACAACGGGTTGCTTGGGGTTCCGCGGCTGAGACCGCGGCTGGAAACCAACGTGGCCGACACTCCCTTCCTCCCTCCCTCCGTATGGCAACCTCCCACCCAGTCCAGCTGGGTACTGACGTCCCCAAGGCCTCGATCGCAATCGTCAAAGGCTGCCCGAACCCTCAAATTAATTATGCTCGCTTCTTCGGGCAGCCATGGTCGTGCAATCCGGCGCACGGGAAACCAATATGGTTTCCCCCTAGCGCTTTAATTTTACAAGGGAACAAACGGCATAAGCCGTACACTTTTTGAGCTCCGCGCGGATCTCTTGAATCAGCGCTGGACCCTTCTCCCTGGCGCGCGGAGCGCGCCCCGGGCGGCGCCGGA